CATAAGAATCCATTATTTTCATTGGCTGACAACAGTCGCGAGGCATTCTAAAATCATGTTTTATTTCCCAAATGAAATGCAACATTCATGACTGCATGTGCTTCCCATGACAATGTCACACAGGATAACAATCGAAACGCTTGATATTACTCGTAATATTACGGTAGTAAGATATAAATATAATTAAAAGAATTTAATGCTTCTTTTGCTCTTTTAAAGCGATGTAAAAAAATGTCTGTCAATCCGTTAGTAAACGTTGAATTGTATTTATACTGAAATTAGGGAGAGGATCAACAAGAGCTATTGTTTTCATATTTGGTCTGAAAGTTGTGTTTTGTGTACTGTTGTTTGTCTGTTTGTCTTTTTCTTTTTTTGCAATGGCTTTGTCAGTTTATTTTCGACTTATGAGTTTGAATGTCATTTTGGTATCTATCGCCTCTCTTTTGCAAGTTAAATGTATCAAAGCTTAAAAGTCTTATTGCAGATTTGAACTGGATTTGCGCATATTCCATGTTACTATATAGTATAAATAAGAAGATGTGGTATGAGTGCCAATGAGACAACTCTCCATCCAAGCCACAATGTATAAAAAGATAACAATTATAGGTCAAAGTACAGTCTTCAACACAGAGCCTTGGCTCACACCGAACAGCATGCTATAAAAGTCCCCAAAAATGAGTGTTGTAAAACAATTCAAACAGGAAAACCAACGGTCTAATCTATATAAAAAACGAAAAACGAGAAACACTTATGAACCACACCAACAAACGACAACAACTGAACAACAGGCTTCTGACTTAGGACAGGTGCATAACATGCAGCAGGTTTAAATGTTTTAACAGGCGCCAACCTTCACCCTAACCTGAGACAGTAGTGTAACATTACAACATAAAAAGACACACTATAAAATATCAATTGAAATGGCTTAACTCGATCAAAAAGACATTTAAACAAAAACAAGTAAACATACACTAGCTCTACAAGCATTGACGTATGTACTTTTCATAGTTGGAGAAAATTTGCCATTTCTAGGAAATTTTATTTCGCGGTTTGATCATTTGCACCTTTCTAAAAAAGTTGAAAATGTGTACAGTCAAACCTTTATATAAATTTACCCTTGGGACCGCAGCTTATAAGGCATATCTTTACATTGATATTAAAAATGCATATGTATTTTTACTGCGGGACATGACGAGTTCAACAAGACAAGACATGTTTTCGCTTAATAGATGTGACCTTTATAGCAGGTTTGACTGTATTTCGTCGAGCATTTGAAGTCTTTGTTATCACATACAAACGAAATCCAAGAACATTGGCATCTGATGAATTTTAACAGAATGATACAAAGTTGTAGTAATATTGTCTGGGCCGATGCCACTGCTTGTAGACGTTCGTTCCCGAGGGTATCACCAGCATTTTTACTTTTTTGATGGATGCCACATGTGGAGCAGGATCTGCTCATCCTTCCGGAGCACCTGAGATCACCCCCAGTTTTGGTGGGGTTCGTGTTGCTCAGTCTTTAGTTTTCTATGTTGTGTTTTGTGTACTGTTGCTTGTCTGTTTGTCTGTTTGTCTGTTGGTCGTTTTCTTTTTTAGCCATGGCGTTGTCAGTTTATTTCCTACTTATGAGTTTGAATGTCCCTTTGGTATCTTTCGCCTTTTTTAACACAACTTGTAATTACATAAGATATTGCGAGCATGATTAATAGTTTCATTTAAATTGTACACCCAGTTTTCATCTCTTTCTGTTTGTTTATTGTTTATGTACATGTACATATTATGTTTTTATTTTAGTTTTTTTCGATGAGTGAAAGTTTTTTTTCGGAAACTTTTAATGGGTTTGACTGAAGGTTTGTCTCGCCAGAGTTTATGAGTTTCTAAGGGGAGCATTCCTCTTGAGAACAATTTAACCAAAGTAAATGTCAGAAAGACGTTGTTTCAAATCGGAGCTTTTTGTGTTATATCTTTTACGTTAATTAATTAGAAACGATTAACAAGATTAAAACACAAATTCACATTTATCCACTAATGCTCGAAAGATACATTTTAAATGTAGCTGCACATTTGGAATTTAATGATACGGAAGGACGTTGAAAAAAGGGCAAGAATAATCATCTTATTGAGATCAAATAAACATTCTGAAACCAAATATTACAGAAGCATTTCATGTGTAAGCTTTTCTTAATGTGTATATGAAAACGACCCACCAACTGTCCTTTAGTGCAACAATTTTGTCACAAGAACCTAAATGGTTACAGTGTCTGCATACGGAGTATACATCTCTCAGTTGATACGGTATTCCAGGGCTTGTAATACCTATCATGATTTCCCTGATAGAGGGTTGCTGCTGTTCACAAAGAAGCTATTAAACCACGAGTTCCAAGTGGTGAAGTTGAAATCGTCCCTTCGTAAATTTTATGGACGCCATCACGAGTTGGTTGACCGTTATGGAATATCCGTTTCACAGATGACAACGGATACGTTCCAATTGTCGTAACTACAATCCCGTCCCCTTTTCCTCGAATGTGACCTAACGAATTAGACTTATCACCGGGTTTGTACTAACATGAGCAACACGACGGGTGCAACACATGGAACAGGGTCTGATTAAACTTCCGGATCACCTGAGATCAACCTCAGTTTTTGATGGGGTTCGTGTTGCTCAGTCTTTACCTTTCTATTTTGTGTTTTGCGTACTATTGTTTCTCCGTTTGTATTTTTCTTTTTAGCCATGGCGTTGTCAGTTTTTTTTCGACTTATGAATTTGAATGTCCCTTTGGTATCTTTCGCCTCTCTTTTACACTGACATATCCTTATCTAATGAACCACTTAACTGCCACATACCTACTGAATAAGACTTGTCACCGGGTGTGTACTTCAATTAGCAACACGGCGGGTGCCAAATGTGGAGCAGGATTTTCTTACCCTTCCGGAGCACCAGAGATCACACCCAGTTTTTGTTGGGGTTCGTGTTGCTCAGTCTTTAGTTTTCTATGTTGGTTTTGTGTACTGGGTTCTTTTTCCATGGCATTGTCAGTTTGTTTTCGACATTTATATTAATGGTTCTTGCAGGATGATTATCTTAAATCAGCTAATATTAAATGAAACCTTGAACAGCTGATCTTTCCGGCGATGTTTGATTGGATGCTCACTTTTTTGTTCGTTGTATTGCTTAAATGACTATTGTTTTCATGTTCATCCTTGTGACTGTTGACTAATGTTTACTCTATTTTTCCAATTTAGACTTTTGATTGGCTTTTAATATCTTCTTTACGTTTTTTATTTTCTCATATTCAGATGTACAGCGTATTTTAATTAATTTTACAAGGGGCCAATAGGAAATATGGACATAAAATTGAGAATGGAAATGGGGAATATGTCAAAGAGACAACAACCCGACCAAAGAGCAGACAACAGCCGAAGGCCACCAATGGGTCTTCAACGCAGCGAGAAAATCCCGCACCCGGAGCTGGTCCTCAGCTGGCCCCTAAATAAAATTGTGTACTAGTTCAGTGAAAATGGACGTCACACTAAACTCCAAAACATATTAATGAACTAGAATTAAAAAAAAAACATACAAGACTAACAAAGGCCAGAGACTCCTGACTAGGGACAGGCGCAAAAATGCGGCGGGGTTAAACATGTTTTGTGAGATCTCAACCCTCCCCCTATACCTCTAGCCAATGTAGAATAAAGAAACATGCATATTTTTCTTGAGATTTCTACGGCAGTCAACATCAACATGGGTGTAACATTGTTGGTAAGGACTGATTATTTGTTGAAGAGCAGAAAGACCAATATGGTGAGAGAATGCTGACTTAATGTTACACGTACACCACACAAGAAAGTAAAGCAAAAACAATGACTTGAAATCTCTTATAAATTCTTCTATGTTAAGTACAATCCTTGTCTTAGTGTCAGACAGCCTGTATTGCTGCTTCAAGAACTATATAACATGAGATACAGAATATATATATGACAAATTAAACTCCGAAACAGTGGCGACATAGTTAAGGATAAGTCAACGTTGCGTTGAAGAGACAATGTTACCACTGTTTCGGAGTTTGATGTAAATGCATAAAAAAAGAAAAAGTAAAAAGAACGACTTTACCAACCATCGAATACACCTAATAATATACTTCTGAGGATCTGGCTGAGTTTATGACTTTAATAACGACATACTAAACAGTTTTGCCAATGAACTTGACTTCAGTTTAATCAACACTAGAGCCTTTTTTCCTGAGATTTACCGAACTAGTTGGTAACAAATATGGTTAGTCGATGCCCTGTGGTATCCTTGTTCTTAGGTAAGAATTTAAAGACAGATTGGACAATGAATGCCTAGCTTTACAGAAAACTGCAGAAAGCATAATAGTTTGCGAATTGAAAACATCTCAATAAATAAATAACTAAAGATAAAGCTTCAAATATGCTAAGGAAAACGTTTTTTTTTAAATCGAGGGCTCCAGATGAGTACGGCATGTCTTTTTTGACTTAAATCACCCGTCGTGTACATACATGAATAACTTTTACCACTGTATTGAGTGTGATACTATATTTCTACAGTCGAGACAGTCAAATTTTATAAATTTAAAACGCAATGCTTCCCGAGCGTTTTAAACATACATAATATAACTGTCGAAACAAGTATCGTATTGCACTTGATTCTTCTCCTCTAATGATTTTAAACGATATGTAGGCAAACTTTGCCTGTCTTTTTTATTTTCTGCAAAAAATGTGTACTTTCTATGTGAAGCTATTAGACATGGTCACTTTTTTTAGTGACGTGACAATACGTGACGAATTTGGAGAGGAAGCAAGAAAAGTTGCCGTCATAATTGAATTTTGACCAATGAAAAACTGAGATCAATCAGACACATTGATTATCAAGAAAAAATCAATCGGTCAGGGAGAGTTTACAATCGGCTAAGAATTGTATTAATCTGAAAGTCATAAGATTCTTGAACATATGAAAAAGTATTAAAATTATAAGCAATAACTTCAATTCTTAATTTGTTTAATATAAATAAAGCAATCTTGTTCATTAAATAAAAAATGAAATTTTATATAAAAAAAGTAAAAATAAAACATTTGTTTTTTCAGGCAATTATTTCAAACTTGAGAAATACGATGAATAACATAGTGTTTTGAGAAAAGGCCCGGCTGTAGTAGCGTGACGTATACAGAAATGTGGTTGTATTAGCGTGACGTATACAGAAATGTGGTTGTATTAACGTGACGTATACAGAAATGTGGCTGTTTTAGCGTGACGTATACAGAAATGTTCATATAAAGGCATCTTCACTGGTGTACTGTGTGCCGATGACAAAAATATAACATAATTCTTCACTTTCTGTATTTCTCAGAAGATGATACTGACAGATCTGTAAACAAAATGATAATTAATCTTTAAATTAAATATCAAGATTTAAATAAAACAAACTATTGTATATTATGTCAGAATGAATAATTTCATATTACAGGACATCGTTACCATTCCGATGACTGTATCACTCGAACACCTATTTTGCACTCTTGCTTGAAAATTGATAAGCCCGTTATCTTTAATGACGTTCACAAACACTTGATCGATACATGTACCAATGTTGGTGGATGTTCCACCCCGAGAGTAAAATAAGGCCAAATAGTCAGTTCTCCTGTCCTGACATTACATGTAGTTAAAATTGACATATTTTACTGTTCATGTATGTTAAAAAAATTTAATTCGAAACACAGAACCACGCGAATATTCTGTAATACGGATATTTTACATAGTATCACAGACCCGGAAGATATGTTCTGAAATAAAGATATTATGCATAGTGTCATAGACTCCCACAAAGTGGTCAGTAATAAAATATAACACATAATGTCACAGACCTCCATGAAGAAGCAGCTAATAAGAATGTTATGCATAGTGTCACAGGTAATAAGAATGTTATGCATAGTGTCACAGGTAATAAGAATGTTATGCATAGTGTCACAGGTAATAATTATGTAATGCATAGTGTCACAGACCCCACACGAGGTAGTCTGCAATCAGGATACGATACAACAAATGTACAACGCAATGTAATGTAAACTAACATGTTTTTCTGCATACCTTGGTTCAGCTTAGGTGATACCAGATTAAAATGATATAAAAGCGATTCGAACGCAATGAAATTAATTACGTGTTGTTTTCATTTTTTATTTTGCGTTAACGACACCACACGAAGTAGTCTGTTATAAGATTTCTCACCTTTGCGTTCGTCGTCAATTACGTCGATTTCTTCCTTCTGTTCATCCTTTTGAAGTAACCTTGTCAGAAATTGCTTAAAACCTGGTGAAAAAGATCAAAATGAAAATTTTATACTTTTTAGATAGATTGACCGTTTTTATAAGGAGGTGTGGTATGGTTGTAAATAAGACAACTATCCCTCAGACACCAACGGACGTGGATGTAAACAACTCTAGGTAACCGTATTGTCCTCAACAATGAGACAACTATCCCTCAGACACCAAGGGACGTGGATGTAAACAACTCTAGGTAACCGTACTGTCCTCAACAATGAGACAACTATCCCTCAGACACCAACGGACGTGGATGTAAACAACTCTAGGTAACCGTACTGTCCTCAACAATGAGAAAGCTATCCCTCAGACACCAACCGACGTGGATGTAAACAACTCTAGGTAACCGTGCTGTCCTCAACAATGAGACAACTATCCCTCAGACACCAACGGACGTGGATGTAAATAATCTAGGTAACCGTACTGTCCTCAGCAATGAGACAACTATCTCTCAGACACCAACGGACGTGGATGTAAACACTCTAGGAAACCGTACTGTCCTCAACAATGAGACAACTATCCCTCAGACACCAACGGACGTGGATGTAAACAACTCTAGGTAACCGTACTGTCCTCAACAATGAGACAACTATCCCTCAGACACCAACAGACGTGGATGTAAACAAATCTAGGTAACCGAACTGTCCTCAGCAATGAGACAACTATCCCTGTAAACAACTCTAGGTAACCGTACTGTCCTCAACAATGAGACAACTATTCCTCAGACATCAACGGACGTGGATGTAAACACCTATAGGTAACCGTACTGTCCTCAACAATGAGACAATTATCCCTCAGACACCAACGGACGTGGATGTAAACAACTCTAGGTAACCGTACTGTCCTCAACAATGAGACAACTATCCCTCAGACACCAACGGACGTGGATGTAAACAACTCTAGGTAACCGTACTGTCCTCAACAATGAGACAGCTATCCCTCAGACACCAACCGACGTGGATGTAAACAACTCTAGGTAACCGTACTGTCCTCAACAATGAGACAGCTATCCCTCAGACATCAACGGACGTAGATGTAAACAACTCTAGGTGACCGTACTGTCCTCAACAATGAAACAGCTATCCCTCAGACACCAACCGACGTGGATGTAAACAACTCTAGGTAACCGTACTGTCCTCAACAATGAGACAGCTATCCCTCAGACACCAATCGACGAAGATGTAAACAACTCTAGGTAACCGTACTGTTCTCAACAGTAAGACAACTATCCCTCAGACGCCAACCGACGTGGATGTAAACAACTCTACGTAACCGTACTATCCTCAACAATGAGACAACTATCCGTCAGACACAAACGGACGTGGATATAAACAACTCTAGGTAACCGTACTGTCCTCAACAATGAGACAACTATCCCTCAGACACCAACGGACGTGGATGTAAACAACTCTAGGTAACCGTACTGTCCTCAACAATGAGACAACTATCCCTCAGACACCAACGGACGTGGAAACAAACAACTCTAGGTAACCGTACTGTCCTCAACAATGAGACAACTATCCCTCAGACACCAACAAATGTGGATGTAAACAACTCTAGGTAACCGTACTGTCCTCAACAATGAGACAACTATCCCTCAGACACCAACGGACGTGGATGTAAACAACTCTAGGTAACCGTACTGTCCTCAACAATGAGACAACTATCCATTAGACACCAACGGACGTGGATGTAAACAACTCTAGGTAACCGTACTGTCCTCAACAATGAGACAACTATCCCTCAGACACCAACGGACGTGGATGTAAACAACTCTAGGTAACCGAACTGTCCTCAGCAATGAGACAACTATCCCTGTAAACAACTCTAGGTAACCGTACTGTCCTCAACAATGAGACAACTATTCCTCAGACATCAACGGACGTGGATGTAAACATCTATAGGTAACCGTACTGTCCTCAACAATGAGACAACTATCCCTCAGACACCAACGGACGTTGATGTAAACATCTCTAGGTAGCCGTACTGTCCTCAACAATGAGACAACAATCCCTCAGAAACTAACAGAAGTGGATGTAAACATTTCTAGGTAACCGTACTGTCCTCAACAATGAAACAACTATCCTCAGACATTAACAGAAGTGGATGTAAACATTTCTAGGTAGCCGTACTGTCCTCAACAATGAAACAACTATCCCTCAGTCACCAACGGACGTGGACGTCAACAACTATAGGTAACCGTACTGTCCTCAACAATGAGACAACTATCCCTTAGCCACCAACTGACGTGGATGTAAACAACTCTAGGTAACCGTTCTGTCCTCAGCAATGAGACAACTATCCCTCAGACATCAACAGACGTGGATGTAAACAACTCTAGGTAACCGTACTGTCCTCAACAATCAAACAACTATCTCTCATCAGACACCAACGGGCGTGGATGTAAACAACTCTAGGTAACCGTACTGTCCTCAACAATGAGACAACTATCCCTCAGACACCAACGGACGTGGATGTAAACAACTCTAGGTAACCGTTCTGTCCTCAACAATGAGACAACTATCCCTCAGACACCAACGGACGTGGATGTAAACAACTCTAGGTAACCGTAATGTCCTCAACAATGAGACAACTGTCCCTCAGACTCCAACGGATGTGGATGTAAACAACTCTAGGTAACCGTACTGTCCTCAACAATGAGACAACTATCCCTCAGACACCAATCGACGAAGATGTAAACAACTCTAGGTAACCGTACTGTCCTCAACAGTGAGACAACTATCCCTCAGACGCCAACCGACGTGGATGTAAACAACTCTAGGTAACCGTACTATCCTCAACAATGAGACAACTATCCGTCAGACACAAACGGACGTGGATGTAAACAACTCTAGGTAACCGTACTGTCCTCAACAATGAGACAACTATCCCTCAGACACCAACGGACGTGGATGTAAACAACTCTAGGTAACCGTACTGTCCTCAACAATGAGACAACTATCCCTCAGACACCAACGGACGTGGATATAAACAACTCTAGGTAACCGTACTGTCCTCAACAATGAAACAACTATCTCTCAGACACCAACAAATGTGGATGTAAACAACTCTAGGTAACCGTACTGTCCTCAACAATGAGACAACTATCCCTCAGACACCAACGGACGTGGATGTAAACAACTCTAGGTAACCGTACTGTCCTCAACAATGAGACAACTATCCTTCAGACACCAACGGACGTGGATGTAAACAACTCTAGGTAACCGAACTGTCCTCAGCAATGAGACAACTATCCCTGTAAACAACTCTAGGTAACCGTACTGTCCTCAACATTGAGACAACTATTCCTCAGACATCAACGGACGTGGATGTAAACACCTATAGGTAACCGTACTGTCCTCAACAATGAGACAACTATCCCTCAGACACCAACGGACGTTGATGTAAACATCACTAGGTAGCCGTACTGTCCTCAACAATGAGACAACTATCCCTCAGAAACTAACAGAAGTGGATGTAAACATTTCTAGGCAACCGTACTGTCCTCAACAATGAGACAACTATCCTCAGACATTAACAGAAGTGGATGTAAACATTTCTAGGTAGCCGTACTGTCCTCAACAATGAAACAACTATCCCTCAGTCACCAACGGACGTGGATGTCAACAACTATAGGTAACCGTACTGTCCTCAACAATGAGACAACTATCCCTTAGACACCAACTGACGTGGATGCAAACAACTCTAGGTAACCGTTCTGTCCTCAGCAATGAGACAACTATCCCTCAGACATCAACAGACGTGGATGTAAACAACTCTAGGTAACCGTACTGTCCTCAACAATGAAACAACTATCTCTCATCAGACATCAACGGGCGTGGATGTAAACAACTCTAGGTAACCGTACTGTCCTCAACAATGAGACAACTATCCCTCAGACACCAACGGACGTGGATGTAAACAACTCTAGGTAACCGTTCTGTCCTCAACAATGAGACAACTATCCCTCAGACACCAACGGACGTGGATGTAAACAACTCTAGGTAACCGTACTGTCCTCAACAATGAGACAACTATCCCTCAGACTCCAACGGATGTGGATGTAAACAACTGTAGGTAACCGTACTGTCCTCAACAATGAGACAACTATCCCTCAGACACCAACGGACGTGGATGTAAACAACTCTAGGTAACCGTACTGTCCTCAACAATGAGACAACTATCCCTCAGACACCAACGGACGTAGATGTAAACAACTCTAGGTAACCGTACTGTCCTCAACAATGAGACAACTATCCCTCAGACACCAACGGACGTGGAAATAAACAACTCTAGGTAACCGTACTGTCCTCAACAATGAGACAACTATCCCTCAGACACCAACGGACATGGATGTGAACATTTCTAGGTAACCGTACTGTCCTCAACAATGAGACAACTATCCCTCAGACACCAACGGATGTAGATGTAAACAACTCTAGGTAACCGTACTGTCCTCAACAATGAGACAACTATCCCTCAGACATCAACGGACGTGGATGTAAAAAACTCAAGGTAACCGTACTGTCCTCAACAATGAGAAAGCTATCCCTCAGACACCAACCGACGTGGATGTAAACAACTCTAGGTAACCGTGCTGTCCTCAACAATGAGACAACTATCCCTCAGACACCAACGGACGTGGATGTAAATACTCTAGGTAACCGTACTGTCCTCAGCAATGAGACAACTATCTCTCAGACACCAACGGACGTGGATGTAAACACTCTAGGAAACCGTACTGTCCTCAACAATGAGACAACTATCCCTCAGACACCAACGGACGTGGATATAAACAACTCTAGGTAACCGTACTGTCCTCAACAATGAGACAACTATCCCTCAGACACCAACAAATGTGGATGTAAACAACTCTAGGTAACCGTACTGTCCACAACAATGAGACAACTATCCCTCAGACACCAACGGACGTGGATGTAAACAACTCTAGGTAATTGTACTGTCCTCAACAATGAGACAACTATCCATTAGACACCAACGGACGTGGATGTAAACAACTCTAGGTAACCGTTCTGTCCTCAACAATGAGACAACTATCCCTCAGACACCAACGGACGTGGATGTAAACAACTCTAGGTAACTGTACTGTCCTCAACAATGAGACAACTATCCTTCAGACACCAACGGACGTGGATGTAAACAACTCAAGGTAACCGAACTGTCCTCAGCAATGAGACAACTATCCCTCAGACACCAACGGACGTGGATGTAAAGAACTCTAGGTAACTGCACTGTCCTCAGCAATGAGCACAAACAACCCCGTATATAAGTTAAGGATGTACACCTCTGAGGAGCCAAACATTTCTAGAATTAAACCTTATTTCTTAACCTGATTTTTGGGTTTAGATGACTGTAAGAAAGTAACTGGTGAAGAAAAAATCATATGGTGGTGCACTTCTTTTTCTGCTACAGTCATTTGAAAGTACCCATTTTTTATGATTTTCCCATTTTTCATAAATTTTTACCCATTTTTGAACTATTATCATGAAAAAAATCACAATTTTACAATTAAACTTTTTTTCATACTTTCACTAAAGAAGAAGAGGACCAATCTGAATAAATTTAACTAAAAAAACTATAGGTTGGTGTTAATATTAGAAAGTTTTGTAAAATTTTGTTGCTTTTTCGTGTCAAATTGACCATGCTGTCAATTTTGTAAATTTGGGATTTTTCTCTTTTATTAGAACAAAAAAGCATGTTATTTTAACTTCTTTGTTACAAATGATTGAAAAAGTACATATCTAAGAATGTTGAAAAGAAAAAATTGATATGGGATGTACAAATTTTTGGTAAAATCATTTCTTTGTACCCTCACCTATTTTCTCAACATTTTGGCTGATGACACTTACCAGATTGGTTATAAAATTTGAAAATTTGATTACTCAAAAACTACTTATTGTAAGTACGCAAGTTTTTCACAGAGTTTAGTTTGATTATAATAATTTGTATATTCATTGATATTTTCTACTTGTATTACATGTTTTGGAAATGAATCCCAAACGAGATTTTAGCGAGACTGAAACCTCAGAAGAATACATCCTTAAAAGGGTTTGGCATTTTTTATGTTTTTATTCATTGTCTGTTTTTTAAGGATAATAATAAGCCATTAATCAACAGACGGACAAAACCATTGACAGAAGTTAAAAAAGTGTTTTTCATGTTTTTATTCATTGTCTGTCTTTTTTAAGATAATAAAAAATATTCGTAAGATTTAAACACTATCTAAACACTATATATGTAATTTTTGTGCAGATACTCAGATAAAACTCAAACAATTTGTTGAGGTGATGTCGGAAAATCTCAATCGTCTAAAATTTTACCAGAATCGACTATTATCTCAGATGTATCGACTTTAATCTTATATACATTGACTTAAATCTCATATGTATCGACTTTCTTCTGACATTTATCGGCTTTAATCTCCTATGCACTGAATTTAATCTCATATGTATCGACTTTAATTTCATATGAATTGACTTTAAACTCATATTTATCGACTTTAATCTCATACGTATAGTCTTAATTCTAATATATATCGACTTTAAATTCATATGTATCGACTTTAATCTCACACGTATCGACTTTAATCTAACACATATCGACTTTAATCTCATAAGTATCGACTTTAATCTCATGTATATCGACTTTAATCACATATGTATCGACTTTACTTAAATGCGTATAGATTTTAACCTCATGTGTATCGACTTTAATCTCATATGCAGAGACTAAATTCTCATATGTATCGACTTTAATCTTACAAATTCCGGTTTAAGTTTTGATATTTATGGTTAATATCATCAACATTTTCCGTGAAATTATCAACTTTCAATTTCCGATACAAGCAGCCTTTCGTGGACTCTTATGTGCATACTGTAAACTAGCGTCCGCAAACACGTTGTGATAGGTAAAAAAAAACATCCGAAACGATGGAAATTCAACCTTAGGATATTTCAAATTTTGGTACGAACAATGTAATTACCCATAGTCCTATAGTTCCAAAAAGGTGAATCGAAAAAAAAGGAACTTAAAACTAGTTGTACAAGTACTTACTTCGTTTGGCATTACATTCACAAATGTAACATCCATTATTTCCTAGCTGGTAACCATTTGGACAGTGACGTCCACAGTTCTGTGGAATTGGATGACACACTAAAAAATTATCATTTAGTTTTTACAGAAAATTAGTTAGCAGTAAGTGAACTATTACTCCATTAAATAGAATAAATAATATTTAAGAAATGACTGTAAACTGGGGGGGGGGGGGCGGGGGGGGGGGGGGGGGGGCTAGGATGAAAAATGTTGTCCTGCATATTTTTTTTAGTTGAAAAATCAAATGGTAGCTCCCTCAAATTTGTGCATATTATTCTAGTACCCATTCTAGGATGAAAAATGTTGTCCTGCATATTTTTTTTAGTTGAAAAATCAAATGGTAGCTCCCTCAAATTTGTGCATATTATTCTAGTACCCATTATTCCTAATTTTTTTTTGTGTCTTTTTTTGCTTATTTATTATTTGTTTGCTCTTTATTCGCTACTTTTGCCAATTACTCTTGATTCATTCGACTCTGTCCAGCCCACATAGATGTATGTAGAGTGGAAAAATCAAACCAAACCAAACAACAATAGCCATGCATTCAAAATGAACTGTAAGGATTGCAATGTGAAGTTGTTACTGTATCGCAAGCTGTAGATATAATATGTTGGGAAATTCAACAGTGACGTCTTAACATGTGATATCAACACTGGCTATTTTACATGTCTTGGAGGTCAACAAACACGACCAATTATCGGACATCAACTATAGCTATAATTATTGTCGATGCGTTTAAATGAACCATTTTCATATTATATTCTTATATTATTTTAATTCTGCTTCACTTGAATGCTTAAAAGAAATTAAAAAGTTCTGAACCGGACAGTGTTCTTAAAGCCATTGCTGAACCTGTTTATGTTGAACCCGTCACTGATTTAGATAGTGCCCCCTTCATAAAGCCATACTTACTACAAATTTTTCCACATTTGGAAGCGCAACAATATTTATCTCCCGGACATGTTTCACCTTGACACTGTTCTTGATAATCGCAGTTCAAATACATCTCGTTTACTCGACATGTCTGAACATCTGTAATAAATGCAAGGAATTGCAAGCAATCGGATTACCTCGGCAGTTTCCGCTATCTGCAGTTTGATCTGCCGAGGTGTGCCGAATGAAATGACATGGATATACTTTACTTTCTGTCGTGTCTTTATTTTGTTATTTGTTTTGTTTCGAGTTGAAATTTAAAAAAAAAACTACCAGCTACTAAGCTAGGGAGATAGCACAAAATAAGTTATGACAATGAGTAGCAATTATCTATAGTATTTCATTCGGCACACCTTAGCAGATCTAATAGCAGATAGCGGAATCTGCCGAGGTAAGCCGATTTCAAACATGCATACAGTTTGGCCGATGCTTATTGTTAGCAAAAACATATTCTTGTTCAAAATTTTTAGGAAGCAAACTAAACGCCAGTATGTTATGTTTCTTATTTTGTCTAAGTAATGATCAAGCACATACGAGTACATTTGTATTTTTAAAAAAACCTTCAGCTGTCCTCATAGAACCCGTAATTCTTTTATATTCTAAAGATTCTGAATATATTTGATGTTTTTTTTATTTTTACTTAGATTATAAAAAACTTATCAGCAATCGGACGCTAAAACAACAACAAAAACCAACAACATTGGTCGTTTTTAAGGCACACATATTAACAAAGTATATGTATACTGGTACACATAATAGAGGGTCAAGATGGAGTATTCTTTAATGTCTAAACAATTTTTCTCTATTCTTTATTGTTTTTGCCCATTATTCTACACTTTTTGTCCATTATTTTCTATTCTGTAAACCCCACCCAGACCTTCATACATATGTTCTTGATTTATTGCTATATTGTTCAAAGAAATATTCACAGCACGCAAGAAAACGGTAGGTTTTAAATTTGATGTGATAGTTTTTGCTATAAAGCTGCTATGTCAACGATACGATACATGATGTATGAAAAGAAATGAAAAATAAAAAAATTATTGTATGGTTGTTTCAGGTTAGAGTTTAAATCATAATAACTATTAATGTCGGAAGAGTCTTAAAAAAACTCAGAATTATTAAGTCAATGTTCCTCTTATGGTCGTTTGAAGAAGTCACCTCCCCGTACACACACATTTTTTACATTACCGGCTTTTTACTCCAGAGTATATATTTTTTTCGACAGGTTACCTATTATTTTGTGGAACTTCAAGGGAGAAGTTTAATCAAGCTTATAATCGGTGCAGTTTTTTTTTTTTGGGGGGGGGGAGGTCTACTGTTTACCGATGATTTTGTCGTTTATGGTACATGAAGGACAGTCTGACAATGATTTGAAAACATAGTATAGTTAATATTACACTTTGGTTGCTCTTACTTGACCGAGCACCAGAATGTCCTACTACAGAGTAGGCAACCTGTCGAAAAAATATCTGCTACGGAGTCAAAAGTTAGTAACTTTGAAATAGACTATTTACCATACCATTTAGCATACATGGTCTGTATTTGCTATTTCTTTTTTTGAAAATGCCTTAAAATGCCTATTTCAAACTAAACGTTGTTTTTAATTTTCTCATTAGGATTTAGTTTTGTCTTTGATATCCAGGTTGTCATTTTCCCTTAACAACCACCGAAATGGGTGAATATTATATGTATTAAGGAAGATCTGCTTAAACATCAATATATATTAAACAGGCATTGAGTAACTCCAAATCGATACAATCACCCGTGAAATGATACATTATACAGAGCTGTAACAGTATCCGAACGTGTAAATTCGTCGAACATTTCCGCGTGTAGGCCACACTAGTATATATAAATATCTTACTACGTTCAAGAAGGTCCTCTAGAAGTCGGTAGTATTCATTCTCAGAAGGCTTAGCCTGAAATAAACAACCAAATCGTTTTTCAAATATTACAAAAATATATATTATAATTCAAAGTACAGCAATTCAATATATTCACATTTTCTATTAATTCGCCAGTCTCATAGCAAATTCAACATCCACCGGTTGTTGGGATTTGTGTACCTAAATCACAACTTGTACAGATAAAAAAAAGGATGAGGTATTATTGCAAATGACATAACTATCAATCAGAGACCAATAAACGTGGAACATGCATGAATATTTGCAACTGGACGTTAAGCATCAATCAATCAATCAATCAACATCGGGACGTTCAAGACTTACGCATTTGAAATGGACGATGAAACATATTTCAAATTGATTATCTCCCTTTTACCATAGAAAAAAGTTTTTAAAAAAATAAACACAGTCACATGATATTGGTCAGATACTTTAGAAATGTATAACTTATTTCGATTTTTTCGGACGGCTCTAGAAAAACAACAAAAGTACAATGTATATGATTTAGATTTGAGAAATGAACTTAGCAGTGTTGGATTCAGCGGAGGGGGTTTCGTAGAGGGCGTACGTCCATCTTTTTTATCGACAAAAAAAAACGTTCATGTTTTTCGCGATATATAAATGTTTAGTATAAAATAGTCCGATTTTTGCTTCGCTCTGCTCGGCGTTTTATATTCAATTATCGGGAATTAAGCCTTTCAAAAATCCTGGATCCGCCGTTGCTAAGGATACTCGTAAAACTGATACCTTATACAACACAGAGCTGTCTCTCCACCTAAAACATCGGATATTGCCGAGTTGAATTATATGTCTAATGTGTAGACAATGTTAAACATAAAAAACGTGATATGATGTTTTTTCCATATTGGTCTTGTTATCAGCCCGAAACTCCAAATACCGAGAGCTTTACGAGTTTTTAGCCCAAGGTCCCGATCTGGGTCAAGGTAGATTTGGAAAATTCCATGCTATGATATTTGGCCAATAAAATTTAAAAGAGAAAGTACAGTAATACAATGAAATAAAGCCGATTCAGTAATTCAATTTGTGTGTTTTCTGTTGGTTTTGTTTCTTTGTTTGTTCATGGGGTGGGGCTAGGATGAAAAATTGTTTAATGTTTAAATAATTCCAAATAGTTTCAAATTACCTTTTATGGTCTTCATCGACTTATAATTACATTAGATGTATGTTTCATTAAAATACGTTATTCTGATTGGCTACACTGCAATCTCGCGTTATTCCTTAATCAACTTCATTACACAATAAAATTTATCATTCATGATGACACGAGGTCCCACAATAAAGTGCACAGGTAAATTAAATAAAAACTTGATAAAAATCGTGTTTTCATGATCCTAGCTAAAAAATGTAATTATAAGTATTGAATGCTTCTTTTTGTAACTTCATAGGGTTGTAAAAGCGTTGACCGTCCGCACATTTTTAGAATGAAGCGCTTTCGCGCTTCATACAAAATGTACTTCGGTCAACGCTTTTACACCCCAATGAAGTTACAAAAAGAAGCATTATATTCTTAATTAACAAAGAGTTGTTGTTTCAAGCAACGATATCACAATATCGGATGTTATCTTAAAGATAAAAGATGATCTTATTTGTTTTGAAAGTTACAACTTTCAAACAGTTTAATAAACAACGGGTCAGTTCTTGATCAAGTAGGTTTACAAATTCATACGTGATTCCCGAAATCGACCAATGGCTGATAAGGTTTTTTTTTACGTGATTGATCATGTAATCCTCCATAGATCATGTGATTCTCCTATGATAAAATAGTAAGCCGATATGGTGTGTTCCCATTTCGCCTTAGCTGTGAATTCCAGGTAAAAAAAGGTAAAAGAGAATACCTGCATAATGGTACAACAGACTACATTCAGTATGGTGATGCAGCATCCTACATCCTTAAACTTGGTAACTAAATTAATTTTGAACATTCCAATGTGTCCATCAGTGCCTTGTTTTTCATAATATGAACTATCATGGTACTATTTATTTATGTTTATGGAAATAATTCTTATGTTTTATGTATTAGTGCCTTTTTCGCAGGCAATTATTTATTACATGTACATTTTCTTTAGTAGTATGCTAATTTAAAATTGTGCTTGTAATTCAGTGCTGATTCAGAAATAAATTAAAATATTTGTTATGATTGTATGATATTTGTCTTTATTTTATTCATTAAAATATGAAATATTCCGTATCCTATTAGTCATCTCTAATAAGAAAAAACAACAAAGACTTATTTACAAAATATATCACATAAGTAAAAAAAAAACATTTTAAAAAAGATGATCCACTATAAAAAGAATTATTCCAAAAGTGGGACAATCGGGAAGACACCAAAAATGCATATTCTTTTAAAAGGTATTTCATTGCAATACAAACAAACAAAAATAACTTAATTACATTGTTTACCCAAGTTCCCATTTCGCCTTAATTAATTCATTTGCACCTGAAAATTTGTACTAAGGCGATATGGGATTAATTTTATATAATGATTTTGACAGCTAAGGCAAAATGAGAATAAGCCGCCGATATCAGCCCACTTGTCTGATAAGTGCAGTCACGTTTATGCTATATAGGCAATGCAAGAACAAAAGAAAATTGGTGATATTATAATATTTTCCCGCATGGTCCTGAATTTCAGCATTTCTATTATAATGTGTTAGAGACTGAAAAAAATCATTGACAATTTTCCTGTTTAGCAACTTTTACATTACAAATTAGATTAGATTAAATTAAATTATATCAAACCGTCCCGTATTTAAAGAACTTGAATTGTCTTTAAGTGCAGCATTTAATTTATTTTAAATTTCCATTGTTTTCAAATTAAACCCATGTTCCCTTTTTTTTAAATTATTTGTTGCAAAACAAACAAATTCCTTTCAATATTGCGCCTCCAACTATCAATCAAGCTGATTATAATTTCTACATGAATATTCAATATTTAAAAATATATGACCAAAAAAATCGACAAAAGAACAGATAAAATAAAACTTACTTTGTAAAACAAACTTATGTTTTGCAATACATTTATAAGTTGATATGTTAATTATATAAGAAAAAAGTCGATGGCCCGGCACAAAATCAATTTAAATAAAATTTTGTTTTAACTGAATTTGCTTAAAATGAAAAAAAAAAGAAGAAATACCGTTTATTAAAACTGACTTTGTAAAATAAACCTAAGTTTAACAATACATCTATGCGTGAACTTGACCTGGCCCTAAACCAAAGTAAGTAATTTATAAGTAAAAGTCCTTACCTGAATGGCCAGAACAAACACTGACAAAATAACTACAAACCGAATCATGACTACTGTAGGTATGAGCTGGGGTGATACAGTCAAATCTTTTTTATACCGGTTCGCTCGGTGAACCGTTCTCTTACATCCTACGCATATTACCGCTCACATATCTAGCAGGTTTTCATTGAAGCAAGTGACCCGTGCACATGCCATTTCTCTTAAAATATAACGAAACTGTACTAACACGCAAACTTCAGCATATTTTTTTAAAAACTTGTTTGCAAGAATATTTCAATTACATTGTCAGTAATGTAACTGTACTAACACGCAAACTTCAGCATATTTTTTTAAAACTTGTTTGCAAGAATATTTCAATTACATTGTCAGTAATGTATTTGATTTCTCTTTAAATCTAGCATGCTGTGAAAAAATGATGTTATCAAATATTTAAAAGAGTTGAATCAGATTAAGAAAACAAATATTTTAGGTGTTGAAAATATACAATGTACCCTTTGACTATTCTTATTAAAGGCCGACTGCATAATATGGGTGGCTATCTTTCTATCTGCTGCATTTTCTTTGATCAAAGTATACATGATTGTTTGTTTTTTGGGGGGATATTGTAAAGAAAATTTATTACAAAACCTACGTAGTATGTCCCGATGATAGTTCTTATAATTACTATTTTGGATTTAAATGATAATCTATTTCTACCTTAGCCTACTTTTTTTTATTATGCTGATGTTTTAAAGTAACCTAGTGAATGCCACATGTAAGTTAGTTGAGGTTTTAAAGTAACCTAGTGAATGCCACATGTAAGTTAGTTGAGGTTTTAAAGTAACCTAGTGAATGCCACATGTAAGTTAGTTGAGGTTTTAACATTGTTCACCTTCCTTTCTGTATTCTTTAATTTGTAATTCATTTTTTTCCCTAATCTTTATATTTCTCCATTACTATCTATTCTTTATACTTATGTCCATTATTTTCTATTTTTTCTATTTTAGTCCATTATTCTCTATTCTTTACGTTTTAACACTCCATTATTCTCTATTCTTTACGTTTTAGCCCCCCCCCCCCTATTATTCTCTATCTTTATGTTTTAGCACCCCATTATTCTCTATTATTTATGTTTAAGCCCCCCCCCCTCCATTATTCTCTATTCTTTATGTTTTAACCCCTCATTTTTCTCTATCTTTATGTTTTAGCACCCCATTATTCTCTATTCTTTATGTTTTAGCCCCTCATTTTTCTCTATCTGTATGTTTCAGCCCCCCCATTATTCTCTATTCTTTATGTTTTAGCCCCTCATTTTTCTCTATCTTTATGTTTTAGCCCCCCCCCCATTATTCTCTATTCTTTATGTTTTAGCCCCTCATTTTTCTCTATCTTTATGTTTTAGCCCCCCCCCCCCCCCATTATTCTCTATTCTTTATGTTTTAGCCCCTCATTATTCTCTATTCTTTATGTTTTAGCCCCCCCCCCCCCATTATTCTCTATTCTTTATGTTTTAGCCCCTCATTTTTCTCTATCTTTATGTTTTAGCACCCCATTTTTCTCTATCTTTATGTTTTAGCCCCCCCCCCCCTCCCCCCCATTATTCTCTATTCTTTATGTTTTAGCCCCTCATTTTTCTCTATCTTTATGTTTTAGCACCCCATTATTCTCTATTCATTATGTTTAAGCCCCCCCATTATTTCCTATTCTTTATGTTTTAGCCCCCCCCCCCCCATTATTCTCTATTCTTTATGTTTTAGCCCCTCATTTTTCTCTATTCTGTATTTTTTACCCATTTTGCTGTTAGTAGTATTGGCACATTATTTTCTATTTTGTAAATATCATCCAGACCCTCATTCTTTAGGACCTTTCCATTGGGTCTTCGGTTAAACTTTTGCAAATACCGTCAACATGTTAAAACGGGAAAAAACATAAGGATTATGTTCATTATTTCTATTCTAATTGAAATATTTGCCACTGGACGTTAAGCAAACACAAATAAATCCATTCTAATTGCAAAAAAGTAAAAAGTTAGCATTCGAAATGGGTTTTTTATTACCTTTCCCCGATCATTCGGATTTTTTAAGTAACCTAGTGAATGCCACATGTAAGTTAGTTGAGGCTTTAACATTGTTCACTTTTATTTCTCTATTCTTTAATTTGTTATGTAAAATTTTTACTATTCTTTCTATTTTTCCATTATTCTCTATTTTATTTCTATTCTAATTGTTAACATTGCGTTTAGTTCTGCTTTACAGCTTAGCACGAGTAAGAGCAGTCTGATCAATTAAAGAAATTATGATGGCATGCAGTGCTCTATCCTTATTGTAAAATGGGTAGGCATTAAATATTATTAAAATGTTAGTTAACGAGTTGTACCAAAATATAGAAAATTACAATGCTGAACAATCTTAATATGTGTTGCTTGGACGATTTTTCTTGTGTGTTTTTGTTTTTGCGTTTTTTTTTTATTCATGTGAAATAAAATATAACTAACGATACCACCCTAATACCAAAAGTCCATATATTACACAATAACAAAAGATTGAGAAACACGAGTGCTTCGGAAGGATCAATAACTCCTGTTCGACTTGTGACTCCCGTCGTGTTTAAAAAAAATGATAAGTCATATCCACTGATTCCGCATCTTACAATAACGGATCGACAAATGTCTCTAGTCTTACCCTTAGACATCACTAAGTACAATAACGGATTGACAAATGCCTCTAGTCCTACCCTTAGACATCACCAAGTACAATAACGGATTGACAAATGTCTCTAGTCACCCTTAGACATCACCAAGTGCAATAACGGATTGACAAATGTCTCTAGTCTTACCCTTAGACATCACCAAGTGCAATAACGGATTGACAAATGTCTCTAGTCTTACCCTTAGACATCACCAAGTACAATAACGGATTGACAAATGTCTGTAGTCTTACCCTTAGACATCACCAAGTGCAATAACGGATTGACAAATATCTCTCATCTTACACTTAGACATCACCAAGTGCAATAACGGATTGACAAATGTCTCTAGTCTTACCCTTAGACATCACCAAGTACAATAACGGATTGACAAATGTCTCTAGTCTTACCCTTAGACATCACCAAATGGAATAACGGATTGACAAATATCTCTCATCTTACACTTAGACATCACCAAGTGCAATAACGGATTTACAAATGTCTCTAGTCTTACCCTTAGACATCACCAAGTACAATAACGGATTGACAAATATCTCTTGTCTTACCCTTAGACATCACCAAGTGCAATAACGGATTGACAAATATCTCTAATCTTATCCTTAGACATCACCAAGTGCAATAATGGATTGACAAATTTCTCTAGTCTTACCATCAGACGTCACTGATTGGGGGTCCGTTTAGCAGTGCGGGAACCGTTTAGCAGTGCGGGATGTATAGATATTCAGCCACGTCAGGTCAGAATAGGGACGTTAAATCGGATGCCTTGCATAGAGAGAGTGACACGCTCTCTGCACTTAAGAACCTTTGCAATAGCTCTTTGAGGAGTCCGTAGGTGGTCAGTTGCAAGGATAAATTTCGCCCCTATCCAATAGTCTCGTCACTTTTCATTGATAGTCGAAATTTCTTGCGCTTCGTCCCTGTCGGTCCCTTTAACAGGACCTATCAATTGTTTTAAGACTTTTAGCCCAAGGTCCCGATCTGGGTCAAGGTAGATTTGGAAAATTCCATGCTATGATATTTGGCAAATAAAATTTGAAAGAGAAAGTACAGTAATACAATGAAATAAAGCCGATTCAGTAATTCAATTTGTGTGTTTTCTGTTGGTTTTGTTTCTTTGTTTGTTCATTTTTAGTGGCACTGTTTTATGTTTAAATAATTTCCAAATAGTTTCAAATTACCATGTATGGTCTTCATCGACTTATAATTACATTAGATGTATGTTTCATTATAATAATTACGTTATTCTGATTGGCTACACTGCAATCTCGCGTTATTCCTTAATCAACTTCATTACACAATAAAATTTATCATTCATGATGACACGAGGTCCCACAATAAAGTGCACAGGTAAATTAAATAAAAACTTGATAAAAATCGTGTTTTCATGATCCTAGCTAAAAAATGTAATTATAAGTGTTGAATGCTTCTTTTTGTAACTTTATAGGGTTGTAAAAGCGTTGACCGTCCGCACATTTTTAGAATGAAGCGCTTTCGCGCTTCATACAAAATGTACTTCGGTCAACGCTTTTACACCCCAATGAAGTTACAAAAAGAAGCATTCTATTCTTAATTAACAAAGAGTTGTTGTTTCAAGCAACGATATCACAATATCGGATGTTATCTTAAAGATAAAAGATGATCTTATTTGTTTTGAAAGTTACAACTGTCAAACACTTTAATAAACAACGGGTCAGTTGTTGATCAAGTAGGTTTACAAATTCATACGTGATTCCCGAAATCGACCAATGGCTGATAAGTTTTTTTTACGTGATTGATCATGTGATCCTCCATAGATTATGTACGTGATTCTCCTATGATAAAATAGTAAGCCGATATGGTGTGTTCCCATTTCGCCTTAGCTGTGAATTCCAGGTAAAAAAAAGGTAAAAGAGAATACCTACATAATGGTACAACAGACTACATTCAGTATGGTGATGCAGCATCCTACATCCTTAAACTTGGTAACTAAATTAATTTTGAACATTCCAATGTGTCCATCAGTGCCTTGTTTTTCATAATATGAACTATCATGGTACTATTTATTTATGTTTATGGAAATAATTCTTATGTTTTATGTATTAGTGCCTTTTTCTCAGGCAATTATTTATTACATGTACATTTTCCTTAGTAGTATGCTAATTTAAAATTGTGCTTGTAATTCAGTGCTGATTCAGAAATAAATTAAAATATTTGTTATGATTGTATGATATTTGTCTTTATTTTATTCATTAAAATATGAAATATTCCGTATCCTATTAGTCATCTCTAATAAGAAAAAACAACAAAGACTTATTTACAAAATATATCACATAAGTAAAAAAAAAAAAACATTTTAAAAAAGATGATCCACTATAAAAAGAATTATTCCAAAAGTGGGACAATCGGGAAGACACCAAAAATGCATATTCTTTTAAAAGGTATTTCATTGCAATACAAACAAACAAAAATTACTTAATTACATTGTTTACCCAAGTTCCCATTTCGCCTTAATTAATTCATTTGCACCTGAAAATTTGTACTAAGGCGATATGGGATTAATTTTATATAATGATTTTGACAGCTAAGGCGAAATGAGAATAAGCCGCCGATATCAGCCCACTTGTCTGATAAGTGCAGTCACGTTTATGCTATATCGGCAATGCAAGAACAAAAGAAAATTGGTGATATTATAATATTTTCCCGCATGGTCCTGAATTTCAGCATTTCTATTATAATGTGTTAGAGACTGAAAAAAATCATTGACAATTTTCCTGTTTAGCAACTTTTACATTACAAATTAGATTAGACTAAATTAAATTATATCAAACCGTCCCGTATTTAAAGAACTTGAATTGTCTTTAAGTGCAGCATTTAATTTATTTTAAATTTCCATTGTTTTCAAATTAAACCCATGTTCCCTTTTTTTTAAATTATTTGTTGCAAAACAAACAAATTCCTTTCAATATTGCGCCTCCAACTATCAGTCAAGCTGATTATAATTCTACATGAATATTCAATATTTAAAAATATATGACCAAAAAATCGACAAAAAAACAGATAAAATAAAACTTACTTTGTAAAACACACTGATGTTTTGCAATACATTTATAAGTTGATATGTTAATTATATAAGAAAAAAGTCGATGGCCCGGCACAAAATCAATTTAAATAAAATTTTGTTTTAACTGAATTTGCTTAAAATGAAAAAAAAGAAGAAATACCGTTTATTAAAACTGACTTTGTACAATAAACCTAAGTTTAACAATACATCTATGCGTGAACTTGACCTGACCCTAAACCAAAGTAAGTAATTTATAAGTAAAAGTTCTTACCTGAATGGCCAGAACAAACACTGACAAAATAACTACAAACCGAATCATGACTACTGTAGGTATGAGCTGGGGTGATACAGTCAAATCTTTTTTATACCGGTTCGCTCGGTGAACCGTTCTCTTACATCCTACGCATATTACCGCTCACATATCTAGCAGGTTTTCATTGAAGCAAGTGACCCGTGCACATGCCATTTCTCTTAAAATATAACAAAACTGTACTAACACGCAAACTTCAGCATATTTTTTTAAAACTTGTTTGCAAGAATATTTCAATTACATTGTCAGTAATTTTTTTTGATTTCTCTTTAAATCTAGCATGCTGTGAAAAAATGATGTTATCAAATATTTAAAAGAATTGAATCAGATTAAGAAAACAAAGGTGTTAAAAATATACAATGTACCCTTTGAATATTTTTATTAAAGGCCGACTGCATAATATGGGTGGCTATCTTTCTATCTGCTGCATTTTCTTTGATCAAAGTATACATGATTGTTTGTTTTTTGGGGGGATATTGTAAAGAAAATTTATTACAAAACCTACGTAGTATGTCCCGTTGATAGTTCTTATAATTACTATTTTGGATTTAAATGATAATATATTTCTACCTTAGCCTATTTTTTTTTATTATGCTGATGTTTTAAAGTAACCTAGTGAATGCCACATGTAAGTTAGTTGAGGTCTGAACATTGTTCACCTTCCTTTCTGTATTCTTTAATTTGTAATTCATTTTTTTCCCTAATCTTTATATTTCTCCATAATTATCTATTCTTTATATTTATGTCCATTATTTTCTAATTTTTATATTTTAGTTCATTATTCTCTATTCTTTATGTTTTAGCACCCCATTATTCTCTATCATTACGTTTTAGCCCCCCCCCCCCTTCCATTATTCTCTATCTTTATGTTTTAGCCCTCTCTTATTCTCTATCTTTATGTTTTAGCACCCCATTATTCTCTATCATTACGTTTTAGCCCCCCCCCTCTCCATTATTCTCTATCTTTATGTTTTAGCCCTCTCTTATTCTCTATCTTTATGTTTTAGCACCCCATTATTCTCTATTTTTTATGTTTTAGCCCCCCCCCCCCATTATTCTCTATTCTTTATGTTTTAGCCCTTATTTTTCTCTATTCTGTATTTTTTACCCATTTTGCTGTTAGTAGTATTTGCACATTATTTTCTATTTTGTAAATATCATCCAGACCCTCATTCTTTAGGACCTTTCGATTGGGTCTTCGGTTAAACTTTTGCAAATACCGTCAACATGTTAAAACGGGAAAAAACATAAGGATTATGTGCGTTATTTCTATTCTAATTGAAATATTTGCCACTGGACGTTAAGCAAACACAAATAAATCCATTCTAATTGCAAAAAAGTAAAAATTTAGCATTCGAAATGGGTTTTTTATTACCTTTCCCCGATCATGCGGATTTTTTAAGTAACCTAGTGAATGCCACATGTAAGTTAGTTGAGGCTTTAACATTGTTCACTTTTATTTCTCTATTCTTTAATTTGTTATGCAAAATAATTACTATTTAATTCTTTCTATTTTTCAATTATACTCTATATTATTTCTATTCTAATTGTTAACATTGCGTTTAGTTCTGCTTTACAGCTTAGCATGAGTAAGAGCAGTCTGATCAATTAAAGAAATTATGCTGGCATGCAGTGCTCTATCCTTATTGTAAAATGGGTAGGCATTAAATATATTAAAATGTTGGTTAACGAGTTGTTCCAAAATATAGAAAATTACAATGCTGAACAATATTAATATGTGTTGCTTGGACGATTTTTCTTGTGTGTTTTTGTTGTTGTGTTTTTTTTTATTCGTGTTAAATAAAATATAACTAACGATGGCTTATCGTTTGTTAGGTTGTACAAAAACAGAGAGAAGATGCAAAAGGCGTATTTGGAATAGGATCCCAGTTACGGCAACCAGTCCGGTACCCACGAATGTAGTTCTTAAAAAAAAATATAACTTTTATTTAAAATGGTGTAGTTTTATTATTACACAAGTTCTGTAACTGAATGTAAATTTATTTGAATGGGTAGGCTTTCTAGCTTGAATTTCTGTAAAAATTTTGATTGATTTAAATGTAATCTGGCGTCGGTACATAGAGTAAATTGCCTAAATTCTAGCCTTTATTCTTCCCCAGAAGTAGACCGACCTACCCTGTTGTCAATCAAAACAAAATTGTGCAACGGAATGCCGGTCATGAGGCACTGAGATTGCACTTAGAAACTTCGAAACAAATGCCTAACGTGAAACAGAAGTCCCAAGGTGGCTATCAAAATTATTTATTGGACAGCACCCCATTTATTTACTATGATTTTCAATGCGTTTCAATGGGGGAAATAACTGGGTCCCCGTTCCTGTCAGAGTGCATATTTTGAACACTTCAATCTGCAATTGTAAGCTTATTTGTGGAGTTACATAGATGAAATTTGGCCAGCAACTTCAAAATTCAATAAGGAAAACAATGGTGTAATTATTTTTAAAATTTGAATTAAACTTTTTAAATTAAATTGAAATTTAAATTTATGAAATTTTTAAAAAGTTTGTTTTTCAATTTAAAGTTTCAAAAGGGGTTACAGTAAGGTCATTTTGATGGTATTATGTATTCATACACTTGTAAGTTAAAATGGAGGGATTTTTCGAAAAATATCAGCAAAGAATATTAGAAAAGAGCCACCTGGCAAGAAATAACAAATGTCTTATATGGGATCAGGGGACAACAAAAGATGGAAAATATGGGCTTATTTCTTTCCAGTATCCTATTTCTGGGACCTGGAAAAGAAAAAAGCCCATAGATTCAGTTTTATGGTTTTTAATTAGTTTTTGATAAGTTTTAAATATTAAATAAAACACTTTATGCCATTTTATGTGTCATAAAAGTTTGTGTGGGAATGCGGCTCACATTACTGAAGAGCCGCATCACATAAATAACGACAGAATATTTTGTAAACTCAGAAAATTTTGCCAGGGGCTCTCCAATTTTAAAGATTTGGGCCTGGATTTATTTTGAAGATATATAAGGGGAGGGCTATAGCTTATATAAACAATTTTAACTGAATGTACAACAATTTTAGACTCCTTTTTAAAGATTTTGGTGGTCCTTAAAAGGACCGTTAATTTTGTCTGTATCTTTTTCAGCAGTAGATGAATGCAGCTATATCTTCCTTGATTTTGGAACTTTTGAAGAACAGCTTCTGGTATGTATATTCTTCTTAACAGGTATTACTCTACCATATGAATGATCGTCTATTATGCTTTTAAAAATGCAGCATCAAGTTTTGGATCAGGTTGCCCTTTTTTATATCTATCTGTACGTTTACTTAGATCCTTTTCTTCCACATGAACCTTAGTCTTCTGTCCGGTGCGTTGTAAATTTTTCTTTTTCCTTTCTGGAGTATTTTGGTTTACTTTGTTCCGTTCACACTCCCTTTACATCTGGTCGAAGTGTTTTAATGAACCTTTTGAGATTTTAAAACCAATACATTCTGCTTTTTGTCACAAGGAATAAGCTGTGCCATTATTCAAAGTGTGAATTATTGATGATGCCCTCCCTCCCTTCAAATTTCTAGAAAAGTTTATATTCTTTGGTAAGGAAACACTTAGTGCTCTGTTAACAGATTCACCTTTTTGAGTGTTATGATTAAATTTCATTTTCATTAATGCTTCTTCGCTAAGTTTCATTTTTAAAAGTTCCTGCATTATTAACTTGTCTTTGTTATCCATATTCAGGTTGGTTAACTTGTTTGGACCCAAGTACATGGATCTCCTATGAGCCACCAACAGTTTGAGTGTCCACCACCACACACGTATGAACTAGTGGGACATTTAGAGCAGTCACAAGTATAACAACGCACAGTAGCATTAAGCATTCAGGCAGATCCAGGATTTCCCTCGACATTTGTTAAACTGTAGGAGGTGCCGTCTTGACTGGTTTTAGCTACAAGTGAGAACTTCTCTGTATCTAGCCTTTTCCATTGTATATTAAATGAACTTAGCTGACTGTTTGAAGACTAAGTTTAATGATGTATACCCTTGTTATGGGGTATGCTTCTTTGCATATGTAATTCTTATAAGATTCTTTTTTTAATTAAAAAAATAATTATAATTATTTTTTTTTCAGCAGAATCTTTTTTTTAACTAGATTTCCATATCAAAAATGAATTTATCTACCATGTGCAATTTACAGAATGTAAATATCGTTTAAAATAAAAAAGTTTTGCTGATTTTAAGCATATTTTCTTCATGAATTTATGATTTTATCCGATCAATTTTCTGGTATTTGAGATGTCATAGATAATGATCAATAACTCTGTAACTGTTGGATCAAATCTATTGAAACTTTGCACAATAACTACTGAGATGTATATCTTTATTTTAAAAGTGCAGTTTAAAGTCTGGAAAAAAAATTAAAGTCTGACAGGAATAGGATCCCAGTTACGGCAACCAGTCCGGTACCCACGAATGTAGTTCTTAAAAAAAATATATAACTTTTATTTAAAATGGTGTAGTTTTATTATTACATAAGTTCTGTAACTGAATGTAGATTTATTTGAATGGGTAGGCTTTCTAGCTTGAATTTCTGTAAAAATTTTGATTGATTTAAATGTAATCTGGCGTCGGTACATAGAGTAAATTGCCTAAATTCTAGCCTTTATTCTTCCCCGGAAGTAGACCGACCTACCCTGTTGTCAATCAAAACAAAATTGTGCAACGGAATGCCGGTCATGAGGCACTGAGATTGCACTTAGAAACTTCGAAACAAATGCCTAACGTGAAACAGAAGTCCCAAGGTGGCTATCAAAATTATTTATTGGACAGCACCCCATTTATTTACTATGATTTTCAATGCGTTTCAATGGGGGAAATAACTGGGTCCCCGTTCCATTTAAGGTGGTACATAACACTAGAGGGAGATAACTCTGTAAAAATCAGCTGAATGTTTTAATCACGTTCTATTGTTTATATATGCAATATTAAGCTTCTCAATGATCAAAATTAGTGTTTATCAAACTACTACATATATCCAATGATATTCTTCCGATAAAGTGTGTGGTTCAAGTTTTTTGAAATTTTTATATTTTTGTCAAAGGGTCAAAGTAAATATTTTATCAAATTTTATTTAAACGAGCCAAATTAATTTTAGTCAA